ATATACTGGGAGGTTAAGGGCTGCAGAATGTTTTTGGGAAACATTGCTCTTTGTACCATATCATTTGTTTTCTACACTCTAACATAACTCACTGCCTTCAAGCACAGCAGAGGAGTTATCTTCTCTACAGCATCAGTGATAGATTTGATTGCAGGTCCAGCCAACTTCTGTCCATAGAACAGAATGGGGCTGGGCAGTGTGGTGGTGACATTTTGTGCTTGGTCTTAGGCTGCAAAATGGATCCGGCCAACCATATTTTGGAGCATAATAGGTAGAGGATATATCATATTTAGGTAAAGTAAGGTAAAAGTATTCCCCAGTGACAAGGTTGTCAAGTTGTATCAGACCATAGGGGGCAGTGATCCGTTACTAAGCCAAAGAGACAGCGTTGTCAGAGACTACTCTGTGATCATGTGGCCAGCATGACTGCACAGAACACTGTTTACCTTCCCACCGAAGTGGTACCTATTTATCTACTTGCATTTCCATGCTTTCGAACTGTTTACTTATTGCCTCAGGTAGAACCAGATTGTATCATTGTAGAATTGTGATTATTATGTGAGGTGTGATTGTCACTTCAGATGTTTAGGTAGAAGTAAGAGATTTGTAGATTTGCCCCAAAGCATAGTTTGGAAAAGTTACTTTTGAGGGGGTTACAGCTCCCAGAATTCCCCAGCCAACATGGCCCAAAACATGGAAATGTCAACTTATAATCAATGCTCTGCAGAAAAAAACTCACCCTAGATTTACCTCAGCAAGAATTCACACACAACCTCTTCAAGTCTCTCCTTTTAAGGTATTCTTTTATAAATTCTAATAATGCAGTGCTCAATGTCCCACAGATTGTTCAGTTTAGACAATATTTAGAGTTTCCTTTCTTCTGGTGTTCCAGAGCTGCAGCTTTTATCATAGTTGACCTTATTGCCAATGGCACCTGTCAGGTTCCTACAGAGACTGGAATGAACACAGTCTCCAGACTTGTTTTCATAGCCCAGAAAACACAGACAGGGATTCACCAGGAGGTCGTTACACAATATTCCACCATTTGTTGCATATCCATTTCTCTTTGTGAACAAAGAGGCTATTTTCAGTCATTTAGTGGAAGGGTGCTGAAGTCATGTCTGGACTGGCACAATATGGGACTAATTCATGTTGTATCAATATATATTGAGTAATTCACACAAAGCACATGGCATAAGGGAAGTTGGATTGAGAATAGGTGTGACTGGGCTATACATGCAAAGTGTATTCTTTTACATCTTATTGTTCAACATGGCATTCCTGTTAGGGCTGCCACCATGGGTAAATACTGTCTGGTATCTGCTCCAAATCCTTGGATCTCTTTCTTCTTTGCTGCTGTTGCTTATTTACTGCCCTTGTGAAGTGACTTAGCAGTCACACAAGCAAGATGGAGTAGCAGTTTCCTCTTACCTTGCTCTAATTTGAGGAGGCTGACAGGGTGTGATTCAGATTGGAGCAAGATTAGCAACAGCGCTGATATGAGGCTACTGAACCAGGGGCCTTTCTGAGAGTATCTTGACCAGGGCTGTCACCTGGAGCCATCACTGATTCATGCCTTCTCAAGTTTGATGGTGGACATCTGCAGTCCATTCTGCATTGATTGCTGCTGGTAATAACTTAGAAATGGCTTCAGTTCAAATAAAATATTATGGTTCATTCACTGATGCAGGCCTTAGGTTCATGACTGATGCTGGGGGATAGGTAAATGGAGTGCACTCTTGAGCTCTTGGAAGCTTTCAACACGATAGGTCATGTAATCATTCTGGGGTGATGAATCTCTTGCATTGATCTCTTCAAACCACATCCTGTTGACCTGGAACAATGGGTGCATGCTCCAGAAAAAAAAGATTCCATCTCAACATTAGGAGGAACTTCCTGACAGTAACGGCTGTTCGACAGTGG